AGTAAGAGCTGAGTTGCACTGGAGATGGTTTTCTGAATCCAGGTACTAAAGCTGTGAATAGTAAAGCAGGACTCAGGCGCTAGACCCAGGGTACACTGCACTTTCCCTGGTTATGCTTCTTAAGTTTTTGGAAAGCTCAGATTATCTCCTGGTTTTTGGCTGTCAAGTCCCACCTGACAAGCAGCAGGCACGTTTCCAAGAAGGACAGGACAGTGCCTGCCTACTGTAGGAAGGCAAAACCCCCTTTCTGCATCTCACAAGCCATTTTGCTGATCCTGTGGATGGTAATGCTCTCCTGCTCAGGAAAATGAGCAAACTCTCTCAACTGCTTCTCCCCTCCCAGGAGCCACTCTAACCATGGTCATGATAACCAGGAAGCCCTAGAAGACTATGGATTTTGTTACAAGCCCTACAAATTATTGGTGTAAGGGCATCCCAGCACAGCAGTTTTATTGCTACACTCACTGAGTTTGAAGCTTGAAAGACTCAAGCAGGGAATCCACAGCTGCAGCAGGCACTTTGCCTGATACATCACCTGTCTACTCAGAAGATGGTGCTAAATGTGCCTCTTCCCTCTGACTCTCCAATAACCATTCTCCCTAATATCATCCCTTGCAAGTCCTGTTGGGTCACCCGATGGGTATCAATTCCAAGCACACAATGAGATGATTCACACAGATCAGAGAGGGAAACCTTAATTCAGATTTATTTTGCTGAGCTTTAAGCTTTTATTTTATATTAAAGGGTCATTTTAGAAATAGCCTAAATTTTCAGTATTTAAAGATGAAAAATAGATGAGGAGTAGTTATAGTCATGAATATGTTGAATAAAAAAGGGCTCATATGGTTACATAGCTCGGTTATTAGTTCATATGCAGAACAGGCAAAACCACCTATCAGTTGTAACAACCGATGAACAAAAGGTAACAACAATATATTTGATTGATATGCTCGATCTACTGAGCAAACTATTGAAAGAAGGAGTAGAGTAAAGCTAGATTAAGAATTTGTATCCTGTAAGAAATCCAGCATTTACCTTTGTCCTAAATTTGGATGAAAGGATTAGTTAGAATTTCCACGGAATAGAAATATTAGAAGTTTTAATTCAGAAACATCCCAGACAACTTACCTTTCATGTAACAGACCTGTTCCATTACACTCAACTAACATGAAAATCTTGCTTCAAGTCAGATCTCTCTTAAGCATGAAGAGCAGCACACTTCAACATATCCAAAACTCAGATTCTCTATCTTCACTAGATTTCACCTTCCACATTATTCACAAAGTCAGATGATGCCCATGGCACATGTTTTTGTGCAGGACACTTACATCATAGAGGTAAATGAAGACTGTCACTAGAATATCATGGGGACCCAAAGCACAGTTCCCACAAGTAAAATGATAGAGAAATGGGATTAAAATCTTGTCAGACAGCCTAGCTGACCAAAAATGCTTTAGGTCAGTTCAGAATTTCTGACTGCCTCAAAGCGTGGGAAGTTCAAGCCCTGGGGGTCAAAATAACATGTTCATAGAGAAAGGCCTGTAGCCCAGTGGTATGTGCTGTCTTGGGTTTTCACCTTTCCATCCAAAGCACTGCCAGTGCTGCAAAGTGGGAACGACACCGAGGTTTCCAGGCCTTGATCCTTCCCTTGGGCCATGTAACAAAACACGGAAGAGGTCATGGGCGTGACCCCGCCATAACCTGTGAGACAGGCTAGGATGTGTTATGTGATCCTGGCTTAGCTTAGCAAAACCAACCACTCCAGCCTGAAGTGAATCAATGGTTTGGATTTCCCTGACTTCTTTTTTTCTCCTATCATCAAAATTTTCCTTTGGGAAATGTGACGTGGTAAAAATTCTGCTTTTTTTGGAAAAATCCTACTGATGGAAAACTCCCACATAGCTGTAGCAGTGACCTCAGAGATAACCAGCCACGTCCATGCTGGCCTTCAGCCTATCTTCTCTCCATCACTTGAAAAGCAACTGCCCTCGTGCTGTCCAGGACATCCTGGCCTTACCTGGCTGAGGGGGAAAGTGAGTTGCAGAGCTGTGAGGCTCAAAGGTCTGCAGCTTGGATGTCCATTCTTCCCACTGCTGTGGCAGCAGCAGGGGGAGCAGAGACTCTTTCAAGATCCTCCTGCCTCAATACATCCAGGTTTTACATGAGTTGATGCGGCTAAAAGAACAGGCAGACTGGGGTCATTTGTAGTAGGGGAGGGGATAGTCAGAGGGGAGACTCAGCATGAAGCTCTGCCTCATGATCAGAGGTATCTAGATAGGGCTGCAGAAGTCTAATCATGCAGGATAGATTTAGAGCCATCTTATAGCAGCATGCACACCTATTACTTAATAAAGTTACCAAACGTAGGGCCACCAGATTAAGTAGTCTCATAATAGTAGTTAGTTTTTCATCTTTTGATACTCAGGCAGGGAGAAGTGAAGTGGCTCGTCCAAGACCACAAAAACCCAATGACAAATTTACCTACTGCCTCTCCTGAGCACCTGGGAAATCCTGAGGTCATAGCTCCATCTCTGTGATCAAACCACTCAGTCGACGCCATTCTCAGAGAGCAGAATCACGGCAACTCTTTTGATACCAGTAGGGAATGCCATTGTGTAACATACACATCTGCATGTTTTCTGCACACCCTATATTGATGTTGGGCAGCCTGGATGAATATTTTCCCACTTCTTCAGTTAGACGCTTAACACATCTACTGACCCTAATAGATTTGCAGGATGAACGCCTTTTGGAAATGTTTTTGTCACTCGCTTTTTGTTTTACATGATCCTTAAACCCTTTTCCCCTGCATACCCAGGGCTGTGCTTGTACATCGCACACACGGCAGCAGAGCCTTGGGAACAGGGCATTTTCTTGACCCAGTCAAACTCTGCAACCCTACCTGCTGCTCACTGCCCTGGGCTCAGCCTTCAGCTCCACAGCCAAAACTGCTCACCCTTGGGAACAGCACTAAACTCTCCCACCCTTGGGAATAAAACCATTTTGGTAACTCAGTCGCCAGCCCTGATGACAGGGTGAGAGAAATCTGGGCACACTCCTTCCCCCATCTGTTACACATTAACAGGCAATCAATTAGCGAACCACAGGGAGAATATGGCTGTGCTGGGGAGAGGGGGCTGGAAGGAAGCACTCTTCCTTCTTAGGGTTAGGTCAGCTGACATATCAGCCAGGCTCATACAGGCTGTAGTTACTGCCACACGGCATCGCTTTCTTTTGGTTTTCTCTGAAAACTCTTCAAAGGTTCCCAGGTCTTTTTCTCCCTCTCCAGGTTAGGCCTCTCTTCTCCCTGCCACAGAGGTGTTCCAGTATCACTCCCATGAGGGGTTAGTTTTTCAGTCTCTTCTTATATAAGGAGCCCCTAGGGCTTTGCTTCAGAGTACTACCCTATCCCTCCTTTAGCACCTGAAACGTGCCAAAAAGAAACACTGGGAATGCGTCCAAGTGCTGGAGAAGGGACAAAGTCAGTGCTGACAGTCAGAAGTCCAAGTAAAAGTTCACATTCAATCACAGGAGATTCAGCAATGACAAATCACGAAACCCTGCCAGGGAACAGACCAATGCCCTAGAGATGGCCATGCTTTCCACACAGCATAATAAAAGAGGAAGAGTTCGTCGGGCAATACAGAGCAATTATTCCCACAGCTGAATAATAGTAAGGAGAGACATTTAGAATCTAAGAAATTCATCTAGAAATAGTGAATTCTGAAGAGACCTGGGCTGAACTGCACCCTGCACTGCTCTGTCCACTCCAGAGCTGAACACCTCCAGTGACAGAGTGTAATCAGGCCCATTCAATGAACAAAAATAAAATGAATGCTCTGCCTGCACGCGCATTTCATTATTTCACAGGAGACAAGGAAGTGTTGGTGTGGTGGACTGTCTGCAGCCAAGTACACACATGGCTGCTTGCTCACTGGAAATCTGTCTCCAGTCAACCCACCATGGTTGGGTAAACTCAATGCACTTGAGGTGTACTGAATGATGAATGATCCTGTTCTTTTTCCAGTGAGAGAGCGTCGGAAATAAAGGGAGTATCTGTACATCCAGGCATGTTTGCTCACACAGGGCCTGTTTGTCTAACTACTCCCAAGCATCCATAGATATTGAAGCTTGTCTGGATGCACTCCTGCTTTTGTCTATACTGCGGCACTTCCGTGTGCGTACACCTGCAGCGTATCTTTAGCAGTGAGGACACAGCCATACACCTCACATGTGAACTGTAGATGCGAGAGCAATGCACTGCAATTCATCTATACATACATGCACTGAGGCTTTCAAAATCACCCGAGAAATTTCTTATCCTTATAAGACTGACAAAACCTGGGTATCTCTATCTCCTTCAGTGCCTGAATTTTTTATCTTTAAAGAATTGTAATGAAAAGGGTTGGTGAGGCTGGAAAAGGAGGAACACAGGATTAACTCTCATCCAAGTGCCCTGTCTTGCCTTGTGGTGAGGTCTGTATGGAGTCCAAGGCCACAAATTAAGACTGGCAGGACAGAGTGACCTCTCTACTCCCGTAATGCCAGAGCTTTCACCTCAAGGTGAAGCCATCTCTAAAGAGATACTATATCTAGGCAGGGGCATCCACTCTTCAAATGGGCCTTAAAACCACCTTTAGAATTTCCTCTCCATGTCTCACTCCACTTGCAGCCACATTATCAGGGTATGAGTGCCACTAGCAGGCAGGAAGATCCACTAGGCCAGATACCCAGATCTGGTAGCCAGCCAGGCTAGGAACTGGGCAAACGTTCCTACCACCACAAAGCCTAACTTCAAGTCCAGGTTGATCTGGAAGGACCAGGGCTGGGCAGAAGGAGAGAGAAGGCATAAAAAAGAATGGAGGGTTAAGTGCATTACATTCACCCCCCCAGGCCCATTTTATATGACATGAAAACACTGCGGTCTCAGTGATGTCTGGGGCCGCCTCTCTTTTTTGCTACAGAGTGAATGTCTCAGTTTCCCTCCCTTCCCACCATACCTTGAATAGTCCTCTTGAAGAAGGCTTTGCACGCCTCGCAGGAAGCCACGCCGTAGTGGTACCCAGAAGCAATGTCCCCACACACCAGGCACAGCCGCTTGGGGATTGCATTGAGCATGTACTCGCACTTGGTGGGCGAGTCCTCCATGATGGCGCTGGCGCAGTCGTCGTAGCGCTTACGGCAGGACCCACCACCAATCCCCGTGCCATTGAACATGGGTGGTGAGTCTAGGCCATTGGGGTGGCCACCCATGGCAATGCCGTAGCCACCACTAGCATCTGAGGAGCCGCTTGGGCTGTGGTGGCTGATGGCGTCGATGCCAGAAGATGGGCTGGAGGGCTCGGTCTTGATGAAGGATCCACAGCTGGAGGAGAGGTGCCGCTCCTCTGTGGCCATTCTGCCGAGCAGCCTGCAGGGAGAGAGCAAAGGCACTCAGTGGCCTCCTGGCCAAACCCAGCTCCAAGTTGGTCAAAAGAGAACCCTCCTTTTCCCACCTCAGTCCAACTCCAGTTGGTTCAGACAGTTCAACCCCTCCCCGCCTCCCAGGTACTTCTCCCTTAGGAATATCAGTACAATTCACCAACAACAGCCCACCTACACCTCACAAACTCATGCTAGAATAAAATCAAGGGTATTCACGTAGATCACAATTTCAGGCTGTTCACATGCTGTAGTGCTGAGAAGGGTATCAGCGCTGGTGACTCACAATCTTACTCAGAGATCTACCCCTGGGCAACAGAAAAAAATGAGCCTAACTGTGACAGGCCAGGTGAAAAAGTTGTTTGGTTAGTTCAGGATGCAGTGCCCTAGCTCTAAGCAAAAAGTTCACTAGCAGACCCTGCAGAAAGGACCTACTCAAACTGGATTTTCATTTGTAATAATTTGTAATAATTTTCAATTTGTAACATCTTTGGTTAATTTTTATGTTGGATTCCTTCTCCCCCGCTTCACTATCATCACTAAAATGGGAGTTTAGAAAATGAAGGAAGATCATCTGATCAAAAGTTTCCCCAGCCTAATCTTAATATTCCTTCTATTTACTAGTATAAGGCTTTTGCTGAAGATGCTTCTCTCGAATTCCCACATCTTGGAGACAGGTTAATGCTCTTAGGTATATGGAAAGGGCTGCATCTTTAACAAATTTGAAAGTTTTTCTTATTTACTGTAGTCACAGGTAGTCTTAGCCCTTATATAAATGTTCAGTCTTTTTTTAGAACACTACTGATTTTTATGGTAACTTTCAGCAATGTGTTCCAGAGATTACTTGTGCGGTATACGAACAAACAAAAAAAACGCTACTTTTATTTGCCCATACTGTACTTGCAGCCTTTCAGGCTCCCTGAACATCTCCTGACTCTCCTCAGGAAATGCAGTTTTGCCATGTTCTCCTCATTCACCTCTTCATTATCTATATAATTGTTCTTCACGCAGAAGTTTTTGCAGACCTCTTATCTGCTTCATCATCCATCTCTGAACTTCCTCTAGTCTGGCTATTTCTGTTTAGGCCAGAACAGAGTTCAATGAGCCAGCTCCTCAGCAGCATGAAACTGGCACTGCTCCATCACTTCTCCAGCTGAAGGTCTGGACAGTAGTCAAGACAAAGGCATGACATCAATTACCTACTGGCGTTACCATATTTTCGATGTTATTTTCAGCCTATCTATTATATAACTCCTTACACTGTTTGCTTTTTTTCTCTTTAATTTAAAATCCAAATTGTTACCATTTCTTCAACAGAGAATATCAGCAAGTTGCTTACTGCAATCCTCAGATCTCTTCCTGAGTTGGTAGTTAATTCAGAATCCATTAAGATGCATGAAAAAATCAAATTAATGCCTTCTGGTGTGCAATGTTTTGCAATAGTCAACAGTATTTTCATCTACCACCGTGCTGTCTGTGCACCCAGCTTTATTAGTATCCTCTGGATTTCTTCAGTCTTCCTTGATGATTTGATGTCATCTGCAGACTCATTGTTCACCCACTTCCCAGATCATTAACACACGGATCAAACACCACAACACTGATCTTTGTGGGTGGTTCGTGTTAACCTTTATCATGCTGAAAATTGGTTTCCCTTTCTTTTCTGGGTAGGGTATATCTGCTCTTTCTTTTCTGCCTCAGACACTTTTTAATTGATAATAGTATTAACCTGAGAGGTTAAATTTTCCCTTCAGCAAGATAATTTGTCAAAGGCTTTTAAGAAAAGCTAAATACTTGCATTTTCCTGATGATATGTCCAAAGAATTCTGACTGACTGGGGACGCTTGACTTTTCTTCTTGGAAGCTCTGCTGGTTTAAAGTTACCATAGCATGGTCATGTGGGTAACTTCTATTTCTATTTCAGTTTCAGCCTATTTACCCGGTATTTGTGGCAACTCCTCCTGCCAAGAGGTCAAACCTGTCAGAGGACAGGACAACACATTCTGTGATACAGCAGGGCTGGAGTGCACACGTATATGTATCATATCTGTGTGTCTGTTGATATGAACGCTTGATATGCAGCAATTTCACAGTCCTGCATCCTTATGGTCTCATTTGACCCAAGTATCTCCTAATTTTCCCTTCTCTCTTTTATCCTCCATGTTTGACCTCATCTCCTATCTCTGGGATCGATCAGATAGGTTTGTAATTTGGCAAGACTGTTGACCTTGAGAGTATGGGCAGGCATCTCACGTTCCTCAGCTGCTTTGCCTGGTGTTACTTGAGAGGAATCCTGAGCTTGGTCCGTCTCAGAGACAGCCTGATGACTTGATGAATGCCCATGCTTTGACCAGAGGGTCACACTGGACTAGAGGCCATGGAGCAGTTACAGGAATAATTGCTGCAGGTGCATTCATCGTTAATCCCTCAGGGCACCTAGACAGATTGCAGATCCCGGAGTAATGCCAGCTGACTCTGTGGAGGAAGATGAAGCTTTGCTAGCTGCGACCAGACCTTAGCATCTCACAGCAAAGCTAAAAGCTGCTGTGCTGGCCAGATTCAGGAACCTTTCATTACCTGAGAAGTGCATTTGTAGTAAGAACCTGAATATCATTAGGCACAAAACCATGAGGTTAGGGTCAAAATGGAAAGCAAACCCACCATGAAACACTTTTCTGCACTGAGGAAATTCACAGTAAAAGGAGTTGGGAGTTGTAATGTTAAGGGCAGACAGTGGACAACACAACAAAAAAGACATCACAAGGAGGTGAGCTGTACTGTCAGTCACTGGAGCTCAAATCCCAGCTTCTGTCTCCTAAAAAGCCCAAAATTCACAAAGAAACTCAAGAAGACCCACTGAGGTATTTAAGTTCACTGTTAAAAAAAAAAAAATCAACCAACCAACCAACCAACAAACCCAAAAAGACTCACAGCCTCAATTAAAGACTCTTCCTCCCCAAGGCAGGCAAACAGTGACTGTGACGGCCAACCAAGGATACAACGCCCTCTACATCCTTACAGCTGAGCACAGCCCTGTTCCCTTCCAGGGGACAGTAATACATAGCGAGTTCTGGTTAGATCTGAACAAATGCTTTAGAGGCAAAGTCCTTAACACCAAGACAGATCAAAGACCACAGCTAAGATGACTCCAGCCCTTCCAGAGCTTTTTTTTTTTTCTTTCTGACCTCCGGAACAACCTGCATAATTGATTATTGCTGGGCTGCACACACTGAGTTAAGCCTCACCAGCTTTGACTTTCTGTGAGTCTCATGGAGATTCTGTGGTGATTTTTAAACAGACTCAAGAGTGTCCCCTGGCAATGAAATACAACATCTTGAACTTCAAGAAGAACAGCTAAATGTTTTTTGCAAAGAGTTCAAAGTGATGAACAGCCATTTTGCTCAGCTCTAGTTACCTTAATAGGAATGTAAAAGGAGAGAGACTTGATCCAACTCTCCTCCGTGCTGGCACAGGAAACTCCGTTACTATTTCTGTGCCCATGTAACAGGCTTAGAGGTTCTAAACATTTCGTTCTTTTCACCTTTCCTCATCATAGGTCATTCCCTCTAATCCCTTTAGCATCTTTGTGGCCCTTCTCTGGATTTGTTCCAACTTGCCTGGGTCCTTCTTGCAGCAAGGTGCCTCAGATCGCACAGTGCGATGCTACAGCACTACAGGGGAGAGTCACTCTGGAAAGCACACAGCCGGGCTGACATATGGACCAGCTGAGCAGTAGATTTGCCAGACATCAGTTGCACATCAGCTCACATCATTTGATAGCCACTGTCTCACTGGGACCTCTTTGAACACAAGCTGCTTTTGCCACCATGCTCTGCACAACATGAAATTTGGAGATTCTCTTTGTTCCAAAGTAGATCCAGTGTCATCTTTTACCTGGACACTGTTAATTGCCACTTGTTTTATCAAAGCCTGTTAATGTTAACTTTTTCAGCCTAGCTCTTTTTTTTTTTCCTACTCTATTTTTTTCCTAGTTTCTTTCAGTTGTGTCAACTGTAAATTTGAGAACTATTCCTTTTACATTTTCCTCAATGAGTATTTAAAACCAAACAGTGGCCTTTTGGACATCACCTCTGCAGGATAAAGAATGTCTCTAACCCTCTGTTTACACTCGGTCAGCTAATCCGTGATTCATTTCACAGGATTTGTATCAAAACCAATTTGATCTAATTTCCCTAATAAGATCTTGCACAGCTTTGTGTCAAAAACCCATGCATGGTCCAGAGACAGTCTATCCACTGCGTTCCTTTTTCCTCACTAATTATCTAATTATATCAAGAAAGGTTATTGTCTGCTCTACTCCTCTTTCATAAACCCTCTGCTGTTTTTCACTAACAATGTTGTTAGCCTTTACATGCCTATAGCTGCCCTCAGACAAGCCTGCTCCTATCTCAGTGATTCTGGATGTAAAGACACAGGTGTAGACCAAGCGGAGATTGCACTTTAGGTTTTTACCCACTAGCGTTACCTCCCTCAGTCAGTGATGTTGGGTTAATGCTACAAGTTTCTCCAATTCTTCTCTAGCCTTTGATCTTTTGCTATTTCACTAGAATGGCTGGGCTGCTTAGGAGTTTAATGATCTCTTGAGAACAACAGCAATAATAAGTGAGGGAAAGACTGCTAGATGGACTGGACCAGGAAGGGACAAAAGATTGGTCTTATAAAATCAAGACAGTAAATATTGCCCCAAATTTTTTTTCTTTTAAACTTCAAGCAATACAAGTTTGGGATCCCATGCAGATAAGGTTATTTTATTGCACATCCTTTGAGGTTATTTTTGCCAGAAATAGTAATTTGTAGCTATGTCCACCTCTTAACCCCACTTCTGGATATAAGAATTATAGGAATTGAGTACTCTAGCCTTCACTAACTCAAGAGACTTTTGGTTAGCAAGACAGACAGAACAGTATCAGGCTTTGTAGCAGAAGGTAACTTTTCCCACCAGAAGAATTCTCTGTTGGCTAAAG